AATCAGGTTATACAAATTTTATTATTACGTGAAGATTTAACAAAACAAGAAGTAACAGATATTTGAAATTATGGAAATTGTTAATCAACCAAATTAATATTAAAAATCGAATAGAGAAAAATTCTTTATTTCCATTTTATATATTTATTTTCTTATATATGTATTTTATCTGCTTTTCTTTTTGTCATAAGCGATTATTATTTCCATTGATTTACAATAAATAAACATGTACAAAATCAATATCAGTGGATTTTTTTCCTTGAAACATAAGATATTAGATTTAATTTTCAGAAACATATTACTCAGTATTAAATCGTTTAAAATACTTGTTATGGTCTTGATGAACATGTTTATTTACACGAGTATTTTTCAGAATGCTGAAGTTTTACTTGTATGAAAGAGAATCGTCTTCGAAAATTATTTAACAAAATATTTGCCCAGAAAAAAAGTTGCAGTCCATATTTTAGTTAAAACCTTATCATAAAAACGTATTTTGAGAGCCCGTGGAATTTTTCCATCACTCTGTATATTTATATTTTAGTTTATACTTAACTATTATCAAAATAAATCGAGTACAATGAAGGTACCCTTATGTCTAGATTCCCACAGACATGAATTTTTCATTGTCATCAAAATTAGTTTCTTAAATTTGCATCACTATAGAATTATGTTTTTAGAAAAGTAATTATATATTCTGATAGAGCTTGAAATTCTCTATCATCGTGAACTTTTGAAACAAAAGACGAAAGAGATAGGAAAAAAAATTATTTCTTTTTAGAGCTTGTTAACTACTATGTCGAAGTGATACTGGAATTATTTTTCAGCACACAAATGCAAGATGATTCACGAATATACAGGATGATAGAGAATTCCAATGTCTATCAGGATATACAATTGCTGTTTGAAAAGAAAATTCGTATAGGTATATAAATTCAAAAAGAAAACTCGAAGGAAGGAAACATGCAGATTTTTTGTACTAGAGATTCAGAGTATGTTCATTGTACTAAATTTTTTTTCTGTATATAAACTCAAGAAAAGAGATAAATATACAGGAAGATAGAGAATTGAGGCTTTATCAGAATCTATAGTTACTTTTTTCAAAAGGTAATTCCATAGTGATGAAAAATTTTAAAACCTAATTTTGATGACAGTGACACAATCGAGCCTGTCGGAATCTAGACACGAGGGGGCCTTTATTGAACTCAAATTTTTTTTGGTAATACATATGTTCAGATGAAAATCTACATATACAGGCTGATAGAAAACTCCAGGCGCTTTCAGAATATGTCATTCTCTTTTAAAAAAAGTACACTGTTATGATAATGATATCCTCAAAATACAGTGTGCAATTTATTTTTTCCACGAATATATATATAACACTTTTCGGAAGCTACCAAAGAGAGTATCTTTTGAGCGTGAAAATTTTGTCACAGAAGTTCATGTCATGGTATATATATTTATAGCGTGATAATTGATGACAATCTTTTCATGCTGAAAAGATACTCTCTTTGATAGTCTCCGAAGTGTTATATACATGGGTTTGTCGAGTGAACTTTGCTTTAGAAAAATTTGCTATACCATTATGTGCACAAATTCTGCATTAAAAATATATGATGATGGATATTTTACATATTTTTAGCTTTACTTTATTATGTTTCTGTATTTTAAGCCATATTTTGCCAATGTTCGATCTCTTCATTATTAGAATTTATAGCGAATCTTTTGTCGTCATGCAAAGAAAATTGACTATGTTATACATGATTATAAAGGTTAAAATCGATTTGAAGAAAGTCCTTTATAAAGTGTCACAAATACGTTGGAATCACCCTAGTGTGTTGATCGTCGTTTGCCATATTCTGA